GACAAATGCATTTGACATGATACAAGAACATGCCAACAGACTGACATAAAAAAACACCAAATAATAATGCTTATTTTCTTGATTAAAGAATCCTGTCAGTGCTCCTTTCCCAAACTCTTTCCTCTCCCTCTCACAGGTTGCATTTCATGTTATGCGCACGTCATCCACAAATTTGAACTTTGGATTTAAACCCCTGCTTCTCTTGTATTTAAATTATGTAAATATCAAACTCAAGCCCTGTGAAATCCAAAACAGAGAGCATCTAGTCCTGGTTTAGGACAAAACAGGCTTGTCTTCTTCCTGTTACAAATTTTAAATGGGCAAGAGTAGGGCAAGTCTGGTATTCAAAGTCTTCTGCTGTTATTTATATTGCTACAGGGTGCTCTGCAACTTCTCATTCCTGCCTCCAATTTTCTCTTGTACAACTTTCACTTCTCAGTGTCATTAATATACATTCAGTAAACTGATGTCAAGTTGCTATTAAAAAAGTTAAATCTCCAGCAAAAAAAAAAAAGGAGGCTTTGCACTATCAGAAGATGGCTGGACACGGCTAGTAATGTACCTAAGACACAGCTGTGAGAATAAAAATTTTTCCCTGGCTAAGGGGAGGGATGTCAAGATATTTGTGTCAGCTGCTCCATCCTGACACTACTGACTGGATATTCACTGGATTTTTTAGCTCAGTAGCTCAAAATTAATTGAAAAATAGACAGGGTGGCTGGCAAACAGCAGTTGACACATTTGAAGGGACACAACTCCAGGATAAAAGTCAGTCTGCTAATTTCTTTCGGGAGAAAATACTTTTTTTGTGTTACTATTATAACATAAAAGCAGCAAATCCCACGTTCAAAATGGTGCCTATGCAATGCAGTACAGAGAAACCCAGCTCCCGGCTGTGACCATGAACACAAGTTCCCCACGCCGTAAGAACAGCTTAAAACTGCCTACAAACTATACCTTGGCAGGGCAGACAGGTAGGTCTGCTCTACATTTAAGAGATGCTGAAATACTTATGGCTATATGGGAATTAATTTTTTTTTTTCCATGCTTGCAAATGCCCTAGGAAAAAAAATTAGTTACATTGGCCAAAAAAAAAAAAATATATATATATATATTAAAAAAAAAAAGAGAGAGATGGAGAGAAACAGAAAAATCAGACAGATCTTCTGGAGCAACCAGCTTAAACTGGGTCCAAATGATGCTTCCAAGAGACTACAAATATAACCTGTCCTCTCTCCGAGTTTGTAAAGACAAAATTATCAGTTTTAAGTAAAGAGCTGAAAGAAACTATGATCATAATAGAACACATTAAAGGTGATGTCTCCTTTCCAAATTCTAGCATAGGCAACAAAATCCTAGGGAGGTAAAAAAAAAAAAATCCAAAATTAAATATACCCTCAATTTAAGGTCAATGAAATCAAGCCAATGCAGAAATCAGCATGCAACAAGAACATGATTACAGTCAGCAAATCAAGTACAGGAAAAATGAACCATGAGGAAAATAACTGAATACTCTGGGAACAGCAGAGCACAATACCAAAAAAAAATCCCCACAGACTACCCAAAGCCATAAGGGAGGACAAATCTCAGCTCTTGCTCACTTTGCCTGAATAAAATACATGAAATCATATGCTTTATTTCCTCAACAGAAATGTAAAAGAGTGTAAAGAAAAAAGACTGCCAAGCAAAATAGGGCACTTTGATTTCTGAAGTCAAAATTCAGGACACATTTTTAAAAGAGCTTACTTTTTCCTCAAAATATCAAGTTTTTGTTCACTCCCTCCAAATGCAGGTAATTTTCTTAAAAATTTTTCACCCTTGCAGTGTTGAACGTAATGGGACGAATAATACATGATGCACAAATAAGTTATAATGCTCCATGCAAGTTATTAGCAGTGAGATGCTGAATGTGTGATAAATCTAGACCTGAAAGTGAAATATGCCTCCTAATTAAAAATCAATTATTAAAAACAGTAAAGAATGAAAAAGAAAAAAGGCTCACTCACCAAACTCATAATGAAATCCTGGAAACTTCAGAGTTATTTGAAAAGCAGAAAAAACCCTTCAACATCTATATTTAACTAAAGACTCCATTGTGGGTTTCTTGATTTTATGATTAACAGCTCTGTGAAAAATTGTTTCTGGTATCTTTTTTGCTTTTATCTCTTCATTCCAAATGGTCATGAAAATGAACAGACAGCATTTAAATGGGGAATGCAAGAACAAACCATTGCTCCAGCTCTGGGAAATCGAAGTACAGGGATGCCCTGATGTGGCTCAAAGGTGACACATGGAAGATAAGCAGCCATCCAAAACCAAAAGCAGCCCCTGAACTTGCAAGCAAGTGCACCATGTTCACCCACAATGTTACCCACTGGGCTTCTTAGCAGGTCTCTTCAAGAGAATGGTTTTAACATCCAGGGAAAGTGATTTGCAAACATTTGATCAGGATGTGCAAATAACTATTTCCAATTAATTTGTGGTTAGTTCTGAAAAGATTTCAAACACAGAACAAATCAAAAGCAGCTCAAAATCACAACACCTGTTGCATAAGCTTGGACAAGCAGAAATTTCCAGTTTTCTTTATCTGTAAAACTAAGACATGTATTCATACCTCCAGCAGTGACAGAGAGATTAAATTAACAAGCACTACCGAGGAGATCTGAATCCCATTATTGGTGAAACTACACTGGTATTGTGCATTATCATAAATATTCAGGATCTGCAATCAAAAGAAGGCTTTGGGGTTTACGTATATAATAAAGTTTTAATAATTCACTATCAATATTTCACACGGATTGCTACCGTCACTTTCTTCTGGATAAAAGAAAAAATACATCCAGAATTTAAAATCCACAACCATTCCACTGGGAATCAATTTCTTCTACAGAAAACTGCCTGTGGAGAGTACCAAGCCATTTTTCCAAAAGCCAGGGTCTCCAGGCTCCATCTGCCTGTGGCAGGTGGGTGGCTGCCCAGGGCTGCCTCCATGTTGTGTACCCCTGAGCAGGATCTGGCCTGCAGACTGCACACACTTTTCCCTTCTCAAAACATGCATCCTGCGGCACCTGTTCAAAATCTAGAGTGCTTTGACAATGAAACTTTCAGGATTTTTATTCAGAAAATTTGGAAACCCCAAGCAAGTGTGCCCTGAGGACATCACCCTACCCATGGGCGGTGGATGGCACCTCCACACACGCAGCCCCTCAGCCATGAGCAGTCACCCTCTAAGCCAAAGAACTGTCAAATTTGGGATTTTTCCAGCACCACAAGCAAGAGGGCACATTGTTATCCTTCCACCAGAGATCAGCAGATGTGGGATTGGGGTTCTGGCCATGGGGGCTGCAGCAGCTCGTACCCACAGAAACCCACTGCATGCCCAAACCCCACAGCAGCTTCCCCATAACCCCAAAGGCACTTTTTAGCCCCAAAGGATTTTTTAAAGTGACAGTAAAAGCCCCAAAGGATGTCAGGGCAGGAGAAGGGAGGGAGGGAGGGAGGGAGGGAGTTAGCTGATAGCACAAATTTGACCCATAGCAGAGGCTGATCCCATCTGCTGCAGAGGGAGAGCCACATTATCAAGGGCCACACTGAACAGACATCAACTTCTGAAGTACAGTCCAGCTGAATAAATAACACGGAAAGTTAATAGCCAAATCCTTTCAGCAGCAGCAGTGCACTGGGAACCTGATTAGAATTTGAACATTTGCATTGATTTATATTTTTTTTCGATGTTACCAGCTGGGAGCAAGTGCTGGAGGGGAGGTACAGGAACAGCTCTGCAAAAACAGGAACAGCTAGCGAAGGATTACCTCCTAAAGGATTATCTTTTAAACAAAGAAAAATTTGGTATACTGCAAACAACTAACTCAAATCAAAAGAAACACATTAATCCAACAGGATTAACAGGTAAGGCTGCCCTGTACTTTAATGTCCAGACACACAGCTAAGGAACGTGATGGTTTTATTTAGATGATTTTATTTAGTTGTCAAGCACCTTCTCATAGTCCAAAATAAGAGCTGCCTGTTCAGTTAAAACAAAAGCTCTGATGACTTAGCCTGCAGCCTCACAAGCAACAGAGATCTCCTGTCTTTTTACAGAGCCCTTTCCTTTACCCTTACATATGTAATCTCTGATCATAGAGTTCTTTTAACTCCCACCAGGAAGGAGCATTAGTTGCTGCCTGTACTGCTCCTGCGCTGTGAAATCTCCAGAACCGAGCTCTCTTACTTCCCTCTGGGTGGCAGGGGAAGTCACTGAAACTGAGAGGAAGCTCTTTATGGGTTTGTCTTTCCTGAATTGTTATCACTCACGTAGATTTTACAGCCACAGTACTACAGAAATACCAAAAGTAAAATAGCTCAATCTACTAAAATACAACAGCATCCATGTATTTGGAAGCAATCCAGTTATAACTACTTGAGCATCCCTGCCTTAGCAGTAGACACATTAGTAGCGTCTCTGACTTGCACCAAAGATTTATATTGAGATCTACTTGACTATTCTGGCAAGAAGAGTAATGTAAGCAACGAAGTTTAAACCATAACAATATTTTTTTAAAAAAGTACAAAGATAAAGCCACAATCATTTACTAAAATTACATTTCACTGTATTTTAATATTGCCACATTTCTGTTAAAATTGTAAAATTGTTTATTAATCATACATTTGAGATTCCCCTGGGGTAAATGAAAAAGCCTAAATGCCTAAAAACACAACACAGCATAAAGCAGTTCAGCAGTTCCTTTATGTTTTAGCCAGCCTCATATACATGTCAGCCCCTACTTTGACCCAGAGTTGAAACCAAATTCAGCAGCAGTTGCAAACCTTACCTCTTGATGATAGGAAAGATTATGGACTTTGGTGAATTTCTTCATCTAATAAATTTATATTTTTAACCTTTGAACTTATATTCTTTTATAACCAACTAACCTCTGCATTGGTCCAGCACATATTTCATGTTTATTTAAGAATGAATTAAGCATTATGTAAAGACTCACCTCCTCCACCTCCAAGAAGACTGGAATTAGCTGTAAGAAAAACAAAAAGGGAATTATTAGCATTGAGCTTCCTAAATGTACATAGAACCAAAATAGAAGATGTTTCACAAGAGATTGTCCATTGTTTCAGTAACTTTGCTACTCTTCCCTTACCCGAAAACACTTAATGCAAAAACAATCACTTATTGTAAATTGCAATCACAATCTTTACCTTTGCAGTATCTTGGAAAATGCAAGCTAATAAATAAAACAATAATACAATTACTAAAGCTAATGCATTGAATAGGTTATGAAATTACAATCCTGCATTTATAATTCTATAAACCATATTCCTTTGTGATTACCAAATTAATTTAAAATTTTCATTGCAGAGAAACTTAAATAGACTTTGATGCAACTTCTGATTATCTCTCCTTGTTTTCTATGCCATGGGACCTTTGGGGATGATGATGAGAAATCCTGGCTCCACTGATGTAAAAGGGTTTGTGCAATTGAGCTGGGATTTCCCTCAGCAGGCTTAATTGACTCAGCACTGTAACCATCCAGCTACCCAGGCCAGAACTTGATAAATCACTTATGAAAAGCAATTTTCAGAGCATGGTGATACAAGATGGTCCTTCAAATTAAGCTAGCACAATTGGAGTCATGCCAAATATTTTGCTTTCAGTGCCTAGGCAGAAACAGAAGGAACGCCTAAGCTTCTAAACCTGTCCTTTAGATGTGTGGGAAAAAAACCTTGTATCAGAATATGTTTGAAACAAAGTAAGAGCATAAAGGAGAGACACAGGCATTTCTGATGAGTAAAGAACAGATACCTCAAACCACGTCTGGCTCCAGGACAGGGTATATAGTAAGATAAACAATAACATACAGAAAATGCCTAATTTATCCTGTGTACGTCATTTTGCTCTGTCTCTTCAACAGAAGTCTGTAAACAGCAAATTCCCTGAAGCTGGGTTTTTTTCATCACTTTCTTGAGACTTTTACATAAAATTGACAATTATCTTTGTTTTCTTCTTTGTCAGATATTCTACAAACACCTTGGACTTAACATCCATTTTCGCCTCAAACATTTGCAGCCAGCTTTGCTTGACAGCGCAGTAAAACCAGATTTTCCATCACAGCCAAGATCCATGTTCGAAAGTACCTCTACATTACTCAAGAAGTATTCTACATTAGTCAAAATGCAATGTTCTTTAAAGAAAAAAAAAAAATACAGTTTTATATCCAGCATAGCTGACCATATCAAATCAAAGCAAAGTTACTCATCTTAGGATTAGTTGCCCTACTGTCACTGAGGAATCATTGAAACCAAGACCTAGAGAGATGTTCTCATGCCTTTTCCTCATCCAAGTCTGGTTCTAGTACCCTGGAACATTAGATGAAGGAAAACAGGACAAAAAATCCTTTTTTTCCTAAACAAAGTAACTTGGAGCCATTTTCAAAGAAGTGCTTGTTTGGAGACACAGAAAGGTTGGAGCAACAGGCACAAAATGGAAAACTTTAAAAAACAACAACAAAATTATCTGCAAGTGAAGAACAACTCTTGCCTAGCCTCTCTAAGGTGCTAGCAGAGAACAAATACTGCCATGTATACACTGCCTTTGACAAATACATGATGATGGTAATAATAAATGTGTGCAGACACACTGCAAAGAACGTCAATCTTGCTATATTTACCTCATTCTTGCCCTGACTGAAATTCACTATTAAACAAAGAAACAAATAAAACCACAAATAAAGCCTCACATATTTCTACAGCTGCTTCTGAAGACCTCCTGTAACAGGTAACATCACTTTCCCTGCAGTAAAAAGTACTTATCTGCTATAGAAATCAGGAGAGTTCTTATCAGAAGAAACTGAAAGGAACCAAATGTCATCTACCGCCTGCTATTCCAGCTTAATTTTTTCGCACTGTAGAATACACCTACAATTAAACTATTCTAATCCTTACATGAGTCACGTTCTAGGATTTCAGTTATTATGTCTGAGAGACTCGAGACATACAGCTAAAACCTGTTACCAAAGTTTCCACTGCTAAAAAAGTTTCTTTGGATATCCAGCCAACATCCCCACTGCAAACTTTCATTCAATGGCTTCTCAGAGAATTATGTTTCTCTCATTAACTTTTCCTGACAATGTTCATCTTTCCAATATTTTCCAAAATCTTCTTAATAACATATAAGTCAGCACCACACACTTCTCTATAGAAACACTAAAAACAGTTCAAATGGGTTTTTGGCTGCAATGAATCTACTACAGCTGTTGAAAATAAAGTAATAATTCACAGGGACTCTACTTTTTAATTTTGCTTGCATAATAGAAGCAGAATGACTCCTATGATTCCAGGAAAGAACAAGACTGATTTATATTTACTGTTTCTTTTCTAGAAACAACGTGTCAAAAAGCAAAAAGTTTTATTTCCAGATTTTTCACATGCTTCCTGAAAGGTTCAATAAAACGCACGTTTTTTATTTGGGAAAGTCTTACCACTACAGAAGTAATTTGTCACTTAGCACCTAATGAATCTCCTCCCACACAGGGGTCAGCACAGCCCCATGGCTGCAATCACATTGTATTACGTTGGAGCAAGCATGGCCTCTCTTTTCAGTCCCTCTGTGTTTATCTGCAGCTGCATTTTGTCCGTCACTGCTCCCAAACCATCAAGTCTTGCAAAACCCTTTGGAAGCTGCTCCTGCTGCAGAGGTTCAACTATGGGTAGCTGTACAAGCAACCAGCAGAAGGTCCCGGGAAGCTTTCAACCTCTAAAGTTGACAGAGTCCAAATTGCACCAGAGGTTACACCACTGCAGCTCCTCTCACTCAGGGCATGCCCAGCCTTGGGTAGAACACCCCACACCATGTGCCCTGAGAAGCTGTGGATGTCCCATCCCTGGCAGGGCTCCTGGCTGGACTAGACAGGGCTCTGAGCAACCTGATCAAGTGGAAGGTGTCACCCCAGAACACCCACCCACAGCAGGACAGCTGGAATGGGATGATCTTTAAGGTCCGTTCCAAGCCAAACCACTCTATCATTTTATGACTGCAGATTGTAAATCCATCTTGGCTAACCCTTTGTTCTTATTTCTCTTTTCCAGAGCTGCACAAGATTCTCAAGTCACAGGAGACTCGGGGTGAGAGGAAACAGGAAGATTAAATTGCTACCAAGTTACCAAGGCAAAGAACAATAAAAGAAAGCAAACAAGAGTAACAGGGGCTCCAAAGAAATGTGCATAAGGCTTCTTGCACCTCATTTCATTCCCCATATCACCCTTTCAAAGTGACCTGCCCAACCTCTCTGAAATTGCCTCCTCAAAAACTAGACCACAATAGCTTCCTGGGCATTAACTCTGAAAATCTACTCACAATAGAAACTTGAAATATTATTTTAATAGATACACAGAGTGGTCAGGCAGCCAGCAGATGACAGACTGCTGTGCCAGACTAAAATAGAACACACACTGATAGAGCCCCATCCAAAACATCATTGGCCATGGCCCTAAAGAGGCAGCAGAGATTAGAGTTCATGTAATTTTGGCTACACCAGTAACACAGGCTTCAATTTTTAAAAAAAAGTTAAAAAAAAAAAAGAGCACCATATCTGGAGACCAGTTCCTGGTGTCATTTAAATAGTGGCTCCATGATGACACAAACTACAGCTCCAGAGGTACTGTACATCACCACTGCTTTAAAAGGAGACTCAAATGCTGCGTTCTGAGAGGCAGATCTCACCTTCACAGTCTGTCTCAGTACAGTGAGCAGAAATACATCTAGAAGTGTTAAGATAGCTTTCAGCCCTGGGTTTCTTTTTAATAGCGACATTAGAATCATTAGCAGAAAAAGTGTTTCTACAAAGTTCAGCCTCATCCGTAAGAAAAAATCTACTCTAAAAAAATCACTTCAATGAAAAAAACAGTACCTAATCAGTAAGGATAACGATTTAGCCCTTAATGAGATGCTTATAGCCCCAGATTCAACCAGAAATACAGTATTTCAAGTTACTTAAAACCTCAATGAACTAAATAAATATGCTGCTTAAAAGCACCAGGAAGCCCTGCTAAAGAAACCTAGTGAACATTAGTCTGCTGTACCCTGAGAATTTAACACTTGCTTTAACAAACAAAATTCTTTCCAAAAAACTAGTGTGGGGAGAGAAAGGAAAAAAGTAAAGAAAACAAAAAACCTGGAAGGAAAGAATTTAAAGTAAGCTTAGTTGCTCATGATGGAATACCCACAATGTAAGCTCAGGTTACTGAAATGTACAGATTTTAATAAAGAATATACCAGTACATTTAACAAGTAAGAACTGGACATCAATGTTTTAAACCTCAGCCTTCTTAAAGAGCTACATTTTGTTGGGACTCACCCCATACATGCCACCAATTGTTGGCATTGGTGCTCGGCTCCAATCTGACTGCCACCATCAGTTTATCACCTTACTGTAAAACTTCCATACCTGCTCTCTGAGAGTTCCCATGGGCTGCTTCACACAACACTGACTCCTTTCCTCTTCCTTATGTGTGGCCAGCTGACTCCTTCCTGTCCCTTGTACGACCACCTAACCCTTAACTACTCCTCACAGCACAGCCAACACAACAAACTCCAGCTCTCCAACCCTCCTCTCCATCAGCTAACCCACTCATAGCACCCATCCCATTGGACACAGCTGTGACCTATTAAGGCCCAGCCTTATTGGATACAGCTGTGTCCTATTAAGGCCAGGGCTGTTCCTACTCTTTGGTAATTAGTACAGGTGCAACTCCTCAGGGGTGAGATTGTCTTCAGCACTACCATCTCTATACTCCTACAATCCAACCCCCCAAAATGTTGTATCATTTCCCAGCAGCTTTTTTACTGAATAAACAGATCAGAAACTCTGATGGGGTGTTAATATTTTCCTCACTGTTGTCTTTACAACAACATTCTTACCAAACAGTAAGGTTATTTGAAATTTTGAGGAAAGCAACTGAATGCTGAAGAAGTTCACCTCAAATGAAATTGAAAATCTTCCTGTGCTGCTAGCCAGAACAT